CGGCACGACTGGGAGTTGCGTCGAAGCGTAGGGATTGCGCCACACGAGCGCTCCCCCAAACACCGGGCCACAGCTTCTGCAGTAGACGAATGGTGGGATGCAGGAGTGGCGATGCCTCTCCTTCTCAAGCATCGTTTCTGTGCCAGTGCTCCTGTCAGGTGTCGGTGCGCTGTGCCCCGTGCCCCAAATACCTCTCGACATGCACTGCATTGGTTCGTGATTGTAAGGTGCTTGTGCAAGTATGACAGTACCATGTGCAAAACGCATGGTTGACCAGCCCGGACGCATATGAAAATGACGGAGCACATTACCCCCGTGTTTGCGGACCATGGACAGAGGTGCATGCGTTATGTGAGTAACGCTTCCTCCTCCTCCTTGTGTTCTCCTGTGCCATGCCTGGAGGTGCCATTTCAGCGCCCAAATGGTGACTACTTAGGACCCGCACGTCAACCTTAGCGAAGGCAGCATCAATTTCACGATCAAAAAGATAAGCAGCACGTACTTCAGCACGAGCCCAACATTCAGCGGCCTCATCTGAGATTTGGGTGAGGGCCAGCACGTCTTATTGTGCTCGAGTGGCCCAAGGTTTGCTGACCGAGCCGGCACGACCACCATGGAAGACAGGGTAATCGAATGCTAGATTTCCGAACAACGCGGCTATCAGTTGTCGATGGTCTTGAGGCCTGGAGACTCATAGACTGCAGCCATTTCAATCGACGACCTTGGAGATCAACATCGAACGGGACGACCGTCCAGTGATGAAAAACTTGTGTCAGACTTCTTCCTACTCCTCCCGCCTCCCACGCTGCCTTCCCTCCCTGCGTCCTCCTGCACAAACCCGAAATTGACGACAGTAGTTTCCATACTTGGCCATCGTTGGGAATAAACGTTGTCAGCATGACATTGCATCGCCAACGTTGTGGGATATTCCCCAATCAGTGCTTGCACTGAAGGGGTCCTAGCGGAAGTTGAAAGATTTGCAGAAGTTCCCGCCGATTGTGGTAAAAAGCTGGGTTCCCGGGTTCACGTTTCCGGGTTCCCGGGTTCCCGGGTTCCCGGTTATTGGTTCCGGGCCGATTTCGGTGCGTTCTGGGTACCCGGGCTCCCGGGTTCCCGGTCGATCTCCTTAGCGAAATCCTTTTCATTGATTGGGGATTTTCTTTGGTGTAATTGGCATCTAGCCAAACCGTTGCATACGAAGATATGCGCGTCTAGAAGCTTTGATACGTAGTTTGAGTTCCCCCTGAACGACTGTGAGGAATATACGCGCGTTCCCAAATATCTGTCCGTAACATTTGTGGGAGTCCTTTGTGCGTTCAGGGTGAACGCCACCTCTCTTTGACTCGTAGGCGGTTTTGCAAACAGAGCCTCTTGCATCTGAAATTACGTTTAAACCCTCACGGTCAAGAACGAGAACATGGTGGAGGTCCGCATCGTTGGTTGCGAGTTTGGCGACAAGCTCCAAGTGACATAAACGGCGACTCAGCAGGATCTTGCTGAGCAGGTCGTCGGCGAATTCTAAAAGTCCCAAGTCGACCCGCTTACAACTTCACGTGTCAGAAGAGGGCATTCCGCATACAGTAAAGGTTCCCCAGGTCCCCCCTGCTCACACTTATCCACCCTTTGGTGTGGTCAAGAGGCTCACGCCATACCGCTGGTCCCCAGAGGAGGCGCGGAGTTCACGGTTGAGGCTTCATGGGTTCTTTGGGGCTTTATGCGGGGATTTGTGTTGGCGTTTTGTGGGTTGTTTGGGGTCTTGGCGGAGCCTCATGGAGGCAGTTTTGAAGCGTGTTGGGGGGCGCCTTCGAGCCTCTTTGGGGCCTCTTAGGGGACCTCTTGGGGCTAATAGGGGGGGCTCTTTTGGGCCGCTTGGGTGCTTCTTGGGGCCTTTGGGGGGCCTCCTGAAGCTGACAGATCGGAGTTTCGGTTTGTGTTCTCCTTTTTCGCCTCTCTTGGGGCCAACTTGGGGCGATCTTTGGCCGTCTTGGGCCTCTCTTTGGGCCGTTTTTTTAACCATGTTGGGCCGTTCTGGGGGCCTTCGTAAGGGCCTCTTGGGCAGTTTTGCTGTGGTCTACGGGCCTTTCAAGCTGAAGGAAAACCATTGATATTTGCTTTTCGGGGTCCTCTTGGGATAGCTCTGAGTGCGTCGCGAGGCGTCTTGGAGCCATCGTCGGCGTCTTGGGTCAGTTGTTCCGCGATCCGGGACCGGATGGGAACGTCTCTGAGGCCACGGAGGCAGATTATGGTTCGCCAGAAAACATTTGCCAGTTGCCGTCCACGTGGCACGGATCAAGCAACATCGGTGAACGTTGGCACCAACCCCGACGACCTTGGGAGTCCAGCGACCCGTGTCCTCAGGCCTGAAGAGAAAGTGGGGTGCCCAAGTCGGGAGCACCGCCGCCCGTCCGCCCTTGTCGAAGGGCACCGCGACGATGGCCGAGAATTCCACCTGCTCGTTCATCCTGGCTGTCTTCAACATGAACAGGCCCAGCTCTTGGGCATCGGGGCCGAACTCGAAGACGGTCTCCGCGGCCATGCACCTGGCATCCTCCGCCTTCGCCAGTTGGTCCTCGAGGGCGGTGACCTTGCCCGTGAAGTCCATGAGCCGCTCGCACGCCTCGACCACGGGGTCCCGCTCCTTCTTCTCGAGCTGGCCGTCCTGCTCGCACACCGCGGTGGCGATCTCGGACCTCCATGGTCTCGTCCCTCATGCCCACGCCCCCATTTTTGCCCGAGGCGGCACCCTGGGCACCACACGTGGCACCGCGCCGCGGCCCCCGCTGCCGCCGCTCAGGCTCTACCGCCGTCTTTGGGCAGAGCCTCCGCGCCCTCCCCGGAGAGGCCCTGCTCCGCGAGAAGTTCCGCTGCGCCCGGACCCCACCGCCGATGACGATCGGCGAGTCGCGGACCGCCGCCTCGACCGTCGCGCGAAGGCCGGGCCTGATCAGCTCCGCGCGCGCCCGGGCCTCCGCGCGCCCGGACCTCCTCCACGCGCGAGCCGCAAGCCTCGGCACCGGGCCGGCCGCCTGAGGGACACCGCCGTGGCCGCCGCCACCTGAGAAGGCCGCCAGCTCGCACCACCGCGCTGAGAAGCTGCGATGGCCCCTCCCCCCTCAGACTGGATTTTGGACCTTGGGGGGTGGAGGGAGGAGGGGAGGAACTGCAGACAGAAAGAGAGCTAGTCGAGAAGGATGGGGAGCCTGGCGTTGTTCTGCCGCATGGCCGGGCACGGCTGCCCCTGGCTCCCCCCTGGCGCTGCCTCGCGCCAGGCACAGGGGTCGACTGAAGCCCCTGGTGCCTCCCAGTGTTGCGCGGCTGCTCTTGGGGCGCCTCAGGGGGTCGAGGCGGCCGGGGCTAGGGGAGGGGGGCAGCCAATCATCTCACACGCCTTCTCACTCTTGGCAAGCGGGGGTCGGCACTCATGCACCAAGCCGGTCATGTCTGGCATACGACCTCGAACAAATGTCGCAACAGTATAATGATCTCCTTGTCAAGCTTCCCCATCCCGCTCTAGGACGAGAATGTCCATCTGAGGCAGGCAGCAAGCAGCAAGCAAGTCGATGTCTCTGCATCCCCATCCCGATCACGTTCTCCTTCAGAAAGGGTTTCCGCACCATCATCCAAGCTCCCCAGGACTCGCAAAAGTGTTTGGCATGTCGTTACGCGAATCGATTCGGCAAATGCCGGCACGATTCAAACTCCAGGACATAGCGAGCGTGACGGCCAGGGCGCCGTCACGGCGCCGATGCTTCAAGAAATTGTAGTAGGAGGGAGGAGGAGGAGGAGGAGGAAGAGCAGGAGGAGGAGGAAGAGGAGGGAGGGAGCGAGAGAAGAGAGAGGAGGAGTCTGGAGGAGAAGGAGAGAAGAGAGGAGCAGGACCAGGTGGAGGACCACCTCAAACCCAATACTCGTCAACGATGTTGGAATAAGCCCTCCCTCCAAGCTCCCTCTGCATAGGCCCCATGCAAGGGTTCATTTACCACTGAGTGAAGTGCCCCGTTGGGAGACAGCCGTTTTAAAATCCTGTAGCGTGCCGAAAACCCATTCCCTGAACCCCGACGCCACGATTGAACCTGACTGTTGCGTGTGGACGATCCTGAATCGTGTCAGAACGCTGGCACTGGGACTTCAGCACAGCGAAGCAAAGTAATTGTTGTGTGCCCTGACAATCCTGAACTGCTCCACAATACAATGCCTGGTGCGTTATCCATGGGAAGCCGTGGAAGTGCTGCCACTGTTCAAAATAATGGGCGCGGCTCTAAGGCGACAGCTACATTTCGAAATAGAACTGCCCTCAACCCGTGAAGTTCTTGCATTTGTTCAAACGAATGTGCGCGGCTCTGAGGCGAGAGCCACACTTTGAAAACTACCTGCCCTGTATCCATGAAGCTCTTGCATTTGTTTTACACGAACGTGCGCGGCGCTGCGGCGAGAGCCACATTTCGAAGCGACCCGCCCTTCATCTGCAAAACTGTCGACAACTTCTCCAGCTTCAGAATCATACGTGGTGAGGAAGTCTCAGGCGAAACGCCGTGACGAAGTTATTTACAAGGAGCTGGAATGGAGGAGGAGGAGGAGGAGGAGGAGGAGGAGGAGGAGGAGGAGGGGAGGTCGAGCAGGGTGGGATGAGGTGACGTTGGCGGCTTCATCTGATGCAGTCTTGCTCCGCCTGCTGCGTGCCCCCGCGACGATCCGCCTGGTCTTCCGGGCGTTCGTCGACGACGTCGGGGCGCCGGCGTCCTCCAGAGGCCAGGGCGGCAAGCTCGTCTTGGCAGTTGCGGCAGATGCGCAGATGCACGGCGGGCGCCTGCGTGTCGGGGCCACCAAGACGGCGGCGGTGGCGCATGGCCTCAGAAACACCAGGCCGTGCGACCCAGCCTCTCCTGTCTCAGAGTGCAAATGATTGGGCACGACGCGGGGCCCGGGCACGCCCGGCCTGGCGCACCTCCGGGCGTGCATCGTGGGGGCGCGGGACTTGGGGCCGCTTTCGTGTGCGCGCG